ATAGATTAAGTACATCACCATAAATACACACAAATCGGTGAAGATACAGACCGTCAATTCAGTCTATTTAGATTGTTGCAATGTACCTTACCTGTGTGATTCCCTTGTATTAAATTCACACTTCAGCTTTATTTTTGAGTTTTTATTCAGTAACTTGTCTGAAATAAGCAGTTTGCTTTCTTTTCTTTTCAGCTGACCCCCTGGTTGGAAGTATTGCCACTCAGTATATGACTAACAGAGCAGAGCATGACAGAATGGCCAGACAATGGACCAAAAGATACGCTACATAAATTGGATTTTCGTCAAACTCTTACATTATTCATCTGTGATGGAAAGAGCTGCTTATGATTTTGAAGGGGTGGGGGGAGGGAGGGTGCTGGTAAAGAGTAGGGTATTTCTATAACAGATTTTATTCAGTCTTTTATTTCCTAAGATTTTGTTGTTGTAACTTAAGGTATCTTGCTACAGTAGACAGCTAGGATTGGGAATAGCATATTTTAAGACTGTAATTAGTTCAGCAATATTAGCTCACATATAGTACCGAGAGGAATGTAAACTTCTTAGACTTCTTTGGTTTTCAGTTTGCTTGCAATATGTAAAAGATTAAAACAGCTTAATTTTGTACAGGGACATATGTTGACATTTATGTAAAAGTCCTTTCAAGACTCTACACACTGTTTTTGCTTTTTGTTTTGTTTCGGGTTTGAGGGGTTTGTTTTGTTCTGGGTTGGGTTTCTTTCTTTTTTTTTTTTGTAAAAAGATGTAGGGATTGTTTTCCCCTATGGAGGGCACATTGGTATTTAACAAATCCTTTTTAAAGACTGTCATCTCATGATCTGTGATACGGAGAGGTGGATATATGGCCTCATATATGAAATGAGAAGTAGTTAATGTATTATTTTATAAGCCAATCTATCTTTGTGAAAAGAATAAAGGGTTTAATCAGGACTTACGGTAACCTGTAGTGAAATACCTTAAGCTGTTTAACTGTAAGGCGTGGAATAGGAGTCACTCAGTGGATTGGTTGTATGTTGTGGGCTACTTAAGTCTGCATTTGTTACTGTGCTAATAAAAAGATGTTTAAAAAAAAGAAGAAGAAAAGATTTCTGCTTAGTGCCTTGCTTTGTCATTTTGCCAGAACAGTGTCTCCCAGAATGCTTCGAGGATTACAGTATGGATAAGGACAAGGGAGTTCTGCAGGTGAGTGCACTGACTGCTGCTATTTTGGGAAGACACTTCTAGACAAGCTACAATGAATGACAGCTAAGACTTTTTCAACGGTTTACTGTGTAAGTGTTATGGAGGCTGGCACGGCCCATCAGGAGGCAACCTGCCGCCGAGTCCATGCTAGTTACTTTTTAGCTTAAGTTTTCACAGCATTGGCTTTTCAGGACTGGCACATTATTTGAAAGTACAACTGGAAAAGTGTAAGAGATCTGGAAGGGAAACAGGCAGGAGGTAAAAGGAAAAAGAGAGTATCTTCATGGTTTGCTGATGGAGTGGTCTATTCCCACTTGGAAGAGGAGAAGGAATCATGTCCTGGTAAGCTAGCAGAAGACACCTTAAAGGAGAGTAAAGGAGACTTAATCTGTAGATCCTTTAACTACCTACAAAGATTATCTCCTAGAGATATGGTGTTTACATTGAGGTGTGTAGCAACAGGGCAGTTAGTTGTGGATATGGCATTTTTGACCACTCCCTTAAGGTAAAGGCCGGAAGTATAGATGCATTTTCATATGGCAAGTACTTCACCTTGTGACATTCTTCTGAGCACTGTGTGGTCATCTGTGCTCTCAGATTTATTTTGGTACTCTAAAATAAATTCTGTATATATTTGATTTATATACTTCTCTTCCTATTTATATATAGATCAAATCTAACTTGGGCCAAAGTAATCTGTTAATTAGAGGTACCTTTCCTTTGCTGGGTGATTGTGGGTAGTAGTATGTTAGCCTCATCTGCTAAACTGCCTTCTTTTGAGACAATGTATGTTTTGGTGTATGAGCTCCCTCAGCTGTTTGGCTCAGCCTAGGAAAATTATTGGTATATAGCTACATCACACCAGGAGCATCTCTGGTAATCCTTTCCTCCTCCCCTCTGCTGAGTGAGGAGGTAAATGGCTTCATCTCAGTAGGTTTTTGTCAGCTCCTTGCTTCATGCTACCAGGACATGCCAAATTAACCACTGTAGCTGGCAGGGGGGAGGGAGCTGATTTGGGGTGACTGATCTGCACAGTGTGTATTCAG